AAAGTACAAAGATAGATAGACAAATTAATAAGTATGGAATGAGATGGTCCTCTCCTTTTTTCTTTTTTTTTTTTTCTTTTCATTTTGCTATTCTTTCTTTTTTGGGTGGGAATGTTTACTCAGTTCATGATCAAATATTGAAAAATCCTTTCGAGACAGGAGACTGTTATTAACTATGTTCACAGTGAACTTCTTGTGAATTGTTCCTTGCTGTGTTTGATATTATTCTTTTCATGCTGACTGGAACTGTACTAAATGCATTATTCTTTTCATGCTGAATGGAACTGTACTAAATGTCCTACTGTTGTGTAAACTGCATGTATACCTGCAGTCTTAAATAAAGAAATAAAAATTATATGATCAAAATGTTATAATTTAGTTGTTTTATAATCTAGACATAATTCACAAAAATAAACTAAAATCAGAAACCTGCAAAGTGACTTTAGCTTAAGTATTTTCCATGTTATATGAGAAATAAGATGAATGCTCACCATCATTCAGGAATATCCAGTGGGATATTGAACATTTCTTGATTCATATACTGGTTCCACTAAATGGTGAGTGTTCACAAATGGATATATTATTATATATAACTACATATATATCTTGTCCTTGTAAAAATATTATGATTGTAATGATTAGAGAAACTATTACATAGAAAAGATGTATGGCTTGTTGGAATCTGACAGATCTCATGTGAGCCACCTGGGAGTGTTATCTAACCATTAATTTTCCTTTTGAAGAAAATAAAAAATTCCATTCTCAAGCTGCATCAAGTATGATGTTTTTTTTTTTGAGTCCATTTAAAAGATATCTGGTGGTTACATGTTTGAGTGATCCATTCATATCCTGCAATATGCAAATTATGTGGCAAGTCTTTTGTAAAAGTTATTTGTTGCAGATGAATATTAAACTAAAGTAGTGTGATAAAGTGAAGGCAGATAGGGCTATAACATTTAACCCCAGGGGGAGTATGTGTAGTATGTGTTGTAGGCAACACAAACCAAAATTTAGTTATGGGCACCTGGGGTGGAGCATTTGGAGAGTAGGGTGGGCCAATGCTCCACTCCTAAGTTTATACACAACTGGGAGAAATAAGGTCCAGGCCAGAGTTTTTTTGGGACTGTCTCCAACCCACTGCTCAGCTGCAGATAATCAGCTGTAGCAGTGGAAATAAACCCCTCCCTGCTAGGCAGTTAAAGGGGGATTGCTGGCTTCATCCCTGGAAGCAGGTAGGAGAGAGGCTGTTCTCTCCAGTGAGAGAGTCAAGGAGACTGAGCACTGGGAGTGCAAAAGGAAAGCAGTCAAGACTGGCTTGGGGCACTGGGAGTGCAGAAAGGAAAGCAGTTAAGGCTGGCTTGGAGCACTGGGGGTGTAGAAAGGAAAGCAACAGGCTGACTAAGCATTGGAGTGCAGAGAGCTGACAAATACACTAGGTTGGTGAAACCAATATTGTTTTGTTCTGGTTTAACCCCTGAAAGATAGGGAACCTGATGTTAGTAGGTTTTTGTTTATAGGGATTTGTGTTATATTTATGTTTTCATTAGCTGCTGTCTCCTGTGTGGACTTACAAATAAAGTGCCTGGATTATATGCAAATAAAAGGACTGTGCCTGTTGTTTACCCTGGAGGACCGTGCTACCTGCAAACAAGAATCACAGTAGAGTCTTAGAATGTTCAGACAATTATGCTGATACCAGAGGTAAACCAAATAATAGAAGAGATAAGATAGTTGTTAGCTATGATTGCAATTGTTTCTCCAACCCCTACAATATGTTTGACAATATTTACAACGATATAAATAAACCAAATTTGTAAGCAGTGAATTGATCTTCTAATGGAAGCAGCGAGTTTGCGGCTACCTATATTCTCTTTCCCCTAAAAACTGGACTAGGGTATCCCAGTCCTTGAAAATAACAAAGCATTGCTTAGACTTCATAATGGGATTAAAATTGATCACTGGGGGTCTTACTCTTGATACCTACTGGACCACCTTGACAGTGTCATCATTTTTCCCACTTTATCACTGTTGGTGGCTGCAGTGCTGGCACAGAGGGGGCTGCTGGAATTACAATATACTTATTACCCGCATGCAAGTTTAAGTATGTGTGTGTGAGTGTATTAGTCAGTGTGTATATATTAGTGTGTGTATGTGATAGAGTGTACATGAGTTTGTGTGTGTATATGAATGTATGTTGAACGTATGGAAAGGTGTGTAACAGTAAAACTGTAACGTAAGTAGCTGTGTAAGCTGAGGGACCTGCCCGTTGGTCCATAATTTAGAGACAAGCCCTTGGGTTCCCACAAATGTGCAAGTGAGACCTTAAAAAGAACGTAATCTTAGTGAGTAATTGATGACGTAGTGAATCTTCAAAATGGCGCAGGTCTAAGTAATGATATGTAGAAATGATAAACAAAAATAACACCTTAATAATAGTAACACAGTGGGTGAGGCATCTTAGACCTAGTTTGTTTTGGAGTTTGTAACCCACATTGGGAGGTGGAGGGGCTTGTAAAAAAGGCCGTGGAGGCTGAATGAGGCCTCAGGAGAAACGTTAAAATGGTAACCATTTTTACCGGATACCGTGAAACGGGATACTGGAAACCACTTCCTGGAGTTTTTGAAGAAAATTAGTAGAAACAAAGAGAACATTACCTGCACTCTGGCCTAAATCCCCATGTACATTTAAACCAAATGGAGGCTCTTTAGTTTTATTCCAATGGCCATTTCAATATATCAGCTCACCTGCCATGTCAAGGCAAGCCTCAATAGGTGAGTTCCTACACTAGCCATTAGATATGCTGATATCAGCCAAGAATCTCCAGTAAGACAGGAAGGGGTATTTTATAAACCCTTTAACATTTAACCCTTCATAGGGCTTCTACACATACAATAAACTTTGCTGGTATCAGACAAACTTTGCTGGTATCTTTGTTTTTACTATGTATTTTAAGCTGTTGGATACTAAGCTACTTCTGCTGTAAGTGGGGTGCTTTATCTTTGTGTCAATAAAAGTAGTAGAACCTAAAACATATTCATTTTTTAAGTATAAGGAACCAGAGTATAATGTTTTAATTTAAACAGAGATTTTAGAAATATGAGCTAATGAACAAAATGAGCGTGGAGCTGGGTAAAATAAATTGATGGTAGTTCAGCCTATTGATAGCCAAAGCGTATAGAGGCCAACTGTTTCTTCTAAGAGAATACCCCTGGGAAATTAACCATAATTAAATGTGACAATGGGTTGTAAATAATTAAAGAAAAAGGAAAGAAAACACTACCAAAGGAGATATATAAAGTTTAAAAATTGGACTTTTAATGGTGAATACAAAATAGAGTGAAAGTGAAAGATAGATGAGAAATAACAAGAATGTATTCCAAACATGAATAAAGAATAATGTCGCAATTATTGTATTTGTACATTATTCATCTAATGGATAACCGCATGTGAATAGTCTTATCAACTGTTATTTAATATGCAAAAATGCCAAACACAGGACTAATCATAAGGATACAGTATAAATATAATTATACTTTGAACATAATTCTTGAAAATCCTTAAGGTTCTTGGATCTTCGAGCAGTAATTGATGGATGACTAGGTAGTAATTTCTTCAAAGTTGGATTGTGTAGAAGGATAGGCCAGTGATCAGAAAAAAAACCTTAAGGATCTTTTGGTTCACAGTTTTTATGCATTTTTGCATATTAAATAACAGTTGATAAGACTATTCACATGCGGTTATCCATTAGATGAATAATGTACAAATACAATAATTGCGACATTATTCTTTATTCATGTTTGGAATAAATTCTTGTTATTTCTCATCTATCTTTCACTTTCTATAGTGATACATAAACGAATAACTTAACACTGAACATAATCTAATGGTCTTTTCTGACTACCGTTTTTCGTCAGTCAGACCCGATGACATCATCAACTCTGGAACACCAATCAGGATTCTGGGTGCCTTATTTAAACAGTATAACGGGCTATGTACAGGTTCCCCTTGAAAAGCCGCCTTACCGGCGAAACGCGCGTCTGGGTTTTTCTCAGATCCCTCCAAATATATCTATTTTGAAACTTTATATATCTCCTTTGGTAGTGTTTTCTTTCCTTTTTATTTAATTATATTCATATTTAGGGTTAACCCCTTCACTACCTAGCTATTCTTTTTCTATACTGGACTTTCACTTTATTAAAATTCTTACCAGTCAAAAAAATATCGAACACTTTAGACAGAATATAAGAATAAAGAAACACACTAAATTCCAAAGAGATTTCCATGATTTTAAGGAAGGGGAAATTTTCCGTAAAAAACGCAAATTTCGTTTCACAAACAGCCGGAGAGGCTCAACATCGGCTGACACTGAATGGTCAGATTCAGATCTAAGTGCCTCTAGATCCAGACAAAGACAATATAACCGGAACACGTGGAACAAGGATCCAGTTCCAAACTATTCACCTACAAGGGGCATTCTGAAAACCACCGATAAATCAGTTGCATTCTTAGATGCCCCAATTACCTCTGACAATACCAATTCCACTATTTCCAATACTTTTTTAGGTCAGGATCCCCCTCGAGAACAAAGGGGGCGCCTGAGAGACAGGGATCGCTGGGCCTACAAGAAACAGGGACGGGGCCAGAAGTTTTAATATCTAACAAAATCATCAACCTGTCTAACTTTCTATTACAACCACGCCACATTTCACTTCTAAATAAAGGTTTGACATATGTACCCACTCCTGGGTACAATAAGTTTGATTGGTCAAAAGATATAAACCTATTTGGAAGGAAATTAGCATTGAATCTTATGCATTCTAAAAGGGATTTACTGATGGCAAATGACTTGGGACTAAGTTTGGAGGATTTTGAGTTTTCTAAAACTTTGACAGAATTATTAAATGAACAGGACCCCTCTAGATCTCTTACGAAGTTAAAACCTCAGAGTTGGTTTACCCCCAACCTGAAAGACACCCCACATGTAGATCTTTTCGTCGAAATGACTACAAATGATGTAACAAAAATGCACTTTGAACGCCCATCCAATAACAATTTGACTATCAATGAACGCAAAGCTCTTAAAGAGCTAAAATCATTGGACAATGTTATCATAAAACCAGCTGACAAAGGTGGTAAAATTGTCTTACTCAATCGAGACATGTACATTGATATGTGCATGGCACATTTGAGTGATGCATCTAACTATAGTGTCCTTCCCTCTGACCCTACGGAGATATATATAAAAGAGTTTGAAGCCTTACTCATCACAGCTTTGGAACAAAGAATTATCAACATGGAGGAGTTCTAATACTTATTACCGCACAAACATCCAACTGTAGCCACATTATATTGCCTGCCAAAAGTGCATAAAAGCATTATCACTCCTCCAGGGAGACCAATTATCTCAGGAAATAATTGCCTGACTGAGAGGGCTAGCAAATTCATTAATTAAATTCTTTACCCCTATGTTACGACTCTGCCCTCCTACATTCAAGACACAAAGTCTACTTTATTGATTTTGGAAGGGCTTCAAGTACCTCCATATACTCTACTAGCAAGTCTAGACGTTGTATCCTTGTACAGCAATATCCCGCATGAAGCAGGTATACAAGCATGCCGTTCATTTTTAGAAACAGCCTCATATGAGGAGGCACAGATCTCATTTATTATGTCCCTATTAGAATTTATTCTGATGCATAATTACTTACTATTCAATGGCAAATACTATCTGCAAGAAACTGGGACTGCGATGGGTACGACTTGTGCCCCCACGTATGCAAATCTCTTCTTAGGATGGTGGGAGGACAAAGTGTGGAAAGACCCCAAATATAGTCTGTACCACAAATACATCTTTAAGTGGTACAGATATATCGATGACATGTTAATATTTTGGACCGGTCCTCGGTCCTGTGCAAACTTTTGAAGAATTTGTCAATGTCTTAAATAACAACGAAATAAATCTCACACTTACCCATGTCATTGATGAAAAAGAATTGATCTTCCTTGACCTAAAGATCCTCCTAATGGAGGATGGGACCATTCAAACTGAACTTTTTAGAAAATCAACTTCAACCAACAGCCTCCTCCATTGGGAGAGTCACCACCCTTGTAGGTTGAAGGCCTCCATTCCTTATGGACAATACTTGAGGGCAAGGAGGAACTGCTCTGAGGACTCAGTGTATTATCAAGAATGCCAATCCCTGAAACTTTGTTTCAAAGCTTTGGGATATCCTAATAAAGTCCTTAAGAAAGCATATCAACGTGCAAGTAATACTAACAGATTGGAGAGCCTAAGAAATATACGTCCAAAAGCAAGTCCCTTGATCCCAAGATGCATTGCCACCTTTGACAGTGGCTGGCAAACAATAACAGAAATGTTTTCTGATCACTGGCCTATCCTTCTACACAATCCAACTTTGAAGAAATTACTACCTAGTCATCCATCAATTACTGCTCGAAGATCCAAGAACCTTAAGGATCTTTTGGTTCACAGTTTTTTGGCTCCTACTCCAGTGGAACCCAATTGGCTCACGAGCACTAAGGGCACCTATCGGTGCGGCCATTGCAAAGCGTGCCAGTATATCACTCCTTCTCAATCAACAACATCTACTCAGACCAAAGTAACCATCAAAACCAATGCTCTGATCAATTGTAGCACTACTCGGCTAGTGTACTTGATCACATGTAAATGTGGCAATCAATATATCGGTAAGACAATCCAACCTTTTCGTCGAAGGATTCTTCAACACATCAATTCAATAAAAAACACTATAACCCCTACACCCATAGCAAGACACATTGTGAATTTTCATCATGGCAATGTTGACAATTTAAGATTTCAGGCCATTGAAAAATTTACATTTAATCCTAGAAAAGGCAATTACAATCAACGATTACTGCAAAAAGAATCCAAATGGATATACTCATTTAAGACCCTTACACCACAGGGACTTAATGAGGAATTCAATTATACACCATTCATACACTAAGTTTACACCTTTCATTTTAGTTTTCAAGAATTGTTTACATCATCTTTTGTTTTGGCACTTTTATTATCTTTATTTATATTTTTTGTTTCATTTAAATTGATTTTTCAGTTAATTAATTCAATCAATCTAATCTGATATTGAGATTTACTAATTATCTATCAGTATTAGATAATATTTTCATAATGATTATTCTTGTAGCGTCGCCTGGTGGATTTCTTTGAATAATACCTGTTTGGTACACTATACCTTTAAATATCTTTCTTCTGTTCCGTTTATACAAACACAAATGGGAGATTGAAGATATCTCTCTATTTGTTAGCATGTACCTTTACATTTTCAAGAATTATGTACAAAGTATAATTATATTTATACTGTATCCTTATGATTAGTCCTGTGTTTGGCATTTTTGCATATTAAATAACAGTTGATAAGACTATTCACATGCGGTTATCCATTAGATGAATAATGTACAAATACAATAATTGCGACATTATTCTTTATTCATGTTTGGAATAAATTCTTGTTATTTCTCATCTATCTTTCACTTTCTATAGTAATACATAAACGAATAACTTAACACTGAACATAATCTAATGGTCTTTTCTGACTACCGTTTTTCGTCAGTCAGACCCGATGACATCATCAACTCTGGAACACCAATCAGGATTCTGGGCGCCTTATTTAAACAGTATAACGGGCTATGTACAGGTTCCCCTTGAAAAGCCGCCTTACCGGCGAAACGCGCGTCGGGGTTTTTCTCAGATCCCTCCAAATACATCTATACGCTGCAATTGCAGCAATCATTTATTATTGAAACGCCTATATTTTGGTTTATAATTCTTTTGATATTGGGTGTAGTGGGAGGTGAATCAACAACTTAGCCGTTGATACCATTTAGGGCTGTAATTTAACCATTTAGCCGCCGATACCATCTATGGCAGTAATTTAACTATTTAGCCGCCGCTTATAGTACATTGATACTTAATTTAATACACCTTGTAGAGAGGTGCCTTTGAAGACACAGTTGCGTATCATAGACAACTTCTGCTTTCTTGCTCCTCTTTTTATCATGTGCAGTTAGCTTCTATACCTGGTAGGTGCCCTCGAAGGCACAGATATCTTTCTATTCTTTTACTATATCCTTTCCGGGGGTCTTAGAGCATGGGCTATTTTTAGTAACTGCCACTATATATACCTGGGTATTATATTATTTACTGCAGGCTAGTAGTTTAATCGGACGGCTTAGCTTATTCTACTACAGACTAACAGCCATAATGAACGGCTGTGTTTATGCTGTCTAACTTCTGTTTATTTTCCTTATTACAACCTACAATAGTGGATGTTTTTTCTTTTATTTGTATTTTGATTTTTATTACATTTTGGACATTTTCGAAAGTGTCTTTCATAAGTCATAGCACCAGTAGTTGTTCCGGTCACTTGGAAGGTCTGATTGACTGCAATGAGATATTCTAGATTTATTTAAATAGTCTCATTGCAGCAGACATACATATGTCCTGTTTCTCCTTTTCCTGTATGTAACCAAGAACACTCTGGGTGCATTGGAAGTACCTTTTGAAAAATGTTCTGCTTATTATTTGAAAAGCACCATTCACTGTAACAATTACTTTTGATACATTGTTACAACATTATCATAGTAGATAGTTCTTTTTCTTTTGATAGGTTGTAATAGTATCATTATAGTAGACAGCTCTTATACATCTATACAATATTGTCATTTATATCTTTGATACCTAGACAATGTTTTTCCGTTTTTAATTCTATTATCCCTTATATTATCTCTTCGTGTCTCGATATGTACGTATCTAGACCGACTTTGACTATATATGTGATATAATCACTCTATTTTGTATTCACCATTAAAAGTCCAATTTTTAAACTTTATATATCTCCTTTGGTAGTGTTTTCTTTCCTTTTTCTTTAATTATATTCATATTTAGGGTTAACCCCTTCACTACCTAGCTATTCTTTTTCTATACTGGGCTTTCACTTTATTAAAATGGGTGGTAAATAGTGCCACCCAGATTTAGGTAAAACAAAGGGAGAACCATGTATATATATTTCTCAAACAATAATATTGAGGAACATACTTAACTTATATTAGAAAATAAATGCTAACCGAACGTGCGAGGGGGATATAACAGGACCACATGCAATAGTTAGAATTAGGAACAAACGAATGATTGTACGAAAAAAGCCGTTCATACGTGTTCGGCTAAATGAACGTATGTAAGAAACAGGAGAACGTAGGTGAGTATAAGCGGCCGGTAATTTAATTAACAAAATAAACGAAATCGTGTGTACTCTTTGGTCGCCTGAAAGCCGCACGAACGCAGAAGTACACAAACAGCATAATCACATGAACGGGTAAGTAATATAGGGAGCCGATCCCCATGTTTTTAGGCCCGAACGTGGGAAATAGCTGAACACTATTTCCCATGTTTGTGCTTAAGTGTGTGTGCCGGTCTCGTGACCGGAAGCCAGATAGCCGGGTAACGAGTACGGAAGGGCAGCCGGTGGACGAGCCCGGAGGTTGGCGGTAAGAGCTGCTGAAGACAGACTGTTTGCTCGAGGCAGGACTTGGCGGGAACAACAAACCGGAAGTGCAGGTAACTATGGAGGCAAAACAGCTTGAACGGCAAAGGTAAGTAGGGTCATAACTCCTCCCACAAATTCAGGCCAAATGGCCTTCCAACATCATATATATGATTTCCGCACCTCTCCTGGGTGGTATGTTTATTCCTCATTCTCGGGTCCTCTACCAGAGGCCTGGAAGTTTGAGGGTTCTGCGCAGTATCTTAGCTGTTCCTAGAACTGCACTCAACGATCTCAGATGTTCCACCTGGAATCTGTTGAAACCACTCCCCCAACTTGGGAGTCACAGACCCGAGTGCTCCTATCACAACTGGTACTACTACTGCCTTCACTTTCCACATCCACATTTCTAGTTCTTCTTTCAATCCAGCAGTGGTGGGTCATGTCAGCCACTGGTGCTTTGAGATGCTTGGATGTTTCTTTGGTAAAGAGGGCATTGATCTTCTTAGCCTCTGCTTCTCTGGTGTATCTGCTATTATTTTGGCATCCAGTTGTATTCTTACTAACTGCCTTCCGTCTTTATCTTGGCTTCCAGTCATATTCTTTTTGAGCCTGATCTTTTAGTCATGTAGACGGGGGACCACTAATACTGTGGCATATATGAGCCTGTTGGTCTCTGTGATAGTGCAGGACAGGATTGTGTATAATGCTTCATTAACTGCAGCTAGTATGCTGTCTGGTGGTTGCTTTCCAGTAATCTTCGGGA